AAGCTCGGTCGCTCGGACCTCAGTATCTCTACTTCCTCTTTATCTTAAATTCCTATTCAGCTTTGAATGTATTCACATTAATTTTCCCGGCACATACACGTAGTGTTTGGTAATTTGAATCTTGAAAAATTATGGAACTCGAATGTATTATTTTTGTCTCGAAATTCGACAGATCGAGGTTTCACCTTGAGAGTAGTCTACACCTAATGATCGATAATTTGAATTGCGATCAATTTAAATTTAGAAATAAAAATTTCATTTTTCCTCCAAAATTAGACATTTGGATATTTTAGAATTTTAATACTTTTTAAGAGATTGGCTTATTATGATCAGGCTTATTTCGATAATTTTGTGGGGAATGTCAAAGAGATTTAAAACGCCCGAAAGAAGCTGAATCCTAGGTACGGTTCCCAATGTTGCATGCATTTAGTCAACCTTTTTCAAGAATGCTGTATAACGACTAAATCGTTGGAGACAATTCGGTCTCTCGCAAACAAGAAATATTCCAATGTGAAGTTCAAAATAAAGAAATGTCTATCCCTGAGAGTTTACTGCCTATCGTACATGTTCGAATTCGAGAAATGTGGATTAACCTACACCAGAAGAGTTTGTGTGAATATGCATACTTGCAGAACATTTGTTAGAAATAGACATGTCTTATTATGCTTATCCATACGTAGAAATTCTGTATTTTGGTAGCTTGTAGCTTGATATGTTGTTTTGTCTTATATTTATTTTCAAAGTCAATTCTACCTGGCAATAATGCTTCGTAAAAGTGTGTATCATAATCATATAAAAATTCAAAAAAACGTTTCACTTTTGGAAACACGCTTTTCCCTGTTGGAAGTGCTTAGGAAGGCTGGGGTTTTCTTTCGTCATTTGAGAAGATGATGAACAATTTTGAGTTCCTTTGCATTTGTAGAAGGGACGTTACTTTACTGTTAGACGAGTGTCACAGTGTCAAAATAAAATGATAAATAAAAATAAAACCACTCAAAGATTCGAGAAACGTCTTCCCTCGAAACGACTTCTATAATTGCTGTGAACTGGTATAATAGCTCATTTTTATCTTTCTTGCCAAAAATTATTGTTAGTGCTTAAAGTATTCTGTTTCATCAAGTAAATTGTACTAAAAATGGTTGCTAAAGGGCCAGAAAAATGTGTAGACTTCGATTGTGAAAATTATTAATTGGCGTACAAAAATATGATAAATGTAATTTCTTTATTATATCTATTTTGAACATTCCTACGAGTGGCTCTTTACTACGACGACAGAGAAAGAAAGCTCTGTGCTTGAATATGGTAAATTAGTGGAGGAAAAATAATATTAAAGAATACAAAATATCGATTTGTCCACTATTTCTTGTACAAACGTTATATAATAGGAATTAACGAAACGATTTGTGTAAGAGACTAGTATACTCAGACAACGTCAACCTTTCATACCATACTACGAATGTATGAACCAAACTAAAGATATATTTTTGCAAGTTTTCGTTAAAAATATAACTAGTAGTTTAAACAGTTGAAAAATTGGGTTCAATTTTTCATGTAATTATCCGGGGTTGTGGCAAAGCTAAAGTGATTTTTTTCAAAAAAAAAAAAAAAAAATGAAATGAAAACAATAAGCTAACTCTCGAGAGGCTTTCATGCATTTCCAGCTTTTAAGACTTATTAAAAACTAATGATATTACACAAACGTTGCTGGTAACACAACATATCGCCACAAACTGCATCCACGAACGCGTGAAAATGACATTACACGCAGGTACAATTTTGCAGGCGCCCTCGACAAAGCTAGCGCGCACTGCCGGCCGAGCGTTGGGATTTACAGTGTTCACGCCCCGGTGGCGATTCCGCCATTTGCACTATTCTCCCCACAGAGCAGCAAATGGCCGAATTATCTCGCGCGCCGCTGAGCACGCTCTCTCGCGGCGATTTCATTTACTCCTCGCGCGGATTCCCCCCCTCTCTCTTTTTCTCTCTCTCTCTCTCTCTCTCTCTCTCTCTCTCTCTCTCTCTCTCTCTCTCCTTGTTACAAGAAAAAAAAATCAAATGGAAATTACTTTAATAGTGTGTGCATAATTGTCGCCACTTGTAATATAAGTTCAAGCGAGTGAATTCACGATAGAGCGAAGTGTTGGATATTATGTGCTGTGAAATCTTCTACTTGCTGTCTGCTTCCTGCGAGAGAACACATTAATGTGGAAATTTTAGTGAGGCTGTATTATCAATATTGTACTATTTCCGAAAGTGGTAGTTTAGTTTAGAAAAATAATATTCTCTATAAAAGGACATAAGAACTTGCTTTTCAGAAATGAATGAATAAATTTTATGAATAAAAATGCACGCAAACCAGGGAAACTGAGGAAGTAACTGAGGCTGTAATGCAAAATAAAGTTCTGAATAATTAAGAAAAGACAAGAAACGAGTTTAGCCTGGTTTCGAAATGATCTGAAGAACATAATGCTTTCTAGGATATTTCCGATCTCATCTTTCTCAGAGAAACCCAACGCAATGTTCTCGAGCGTTGTTAACACTCTTTGCTTTTTCCTCTCAGAAGACGCGTTCACCAACGGAGAGCCGTTGAAACAAACGAACGTAAAAGATCTTAAAAATTGCACAATTTTAGACATAATATGAATATCAAGCAAAACACTTCGGTCTATCCCAGAACGTCTCAACAGAACTTATAATCTGTGTCAGAGTGAACTACTATTGTATAAGACAAATGCTCTCCAAATGGTTAGCAATATTTCCCCGAACAATAGCGCGTAATCTCCTTTTTCTGCCTTTTTTGTGCAAATGTTCCTTTTGCGTATCTTATAAATAGTATATTTAACTTTTATAGTGGAGAATCGTGAGGATAGGTCAATAAAATATATTGTGACGTAGTGAAATAAGAAATAAATTTCAATAACAAAATAAAAATAATATATTCAAAGATTAAGCACAAGTTACAATGAATTGCTAATGTTAAAACACTCCGGCAACCTTTTCCTTTCAGAACACTGCTTTACCGCAGAAAATACAAGCCACGCGTGATGCGCGCTATCGGACCTCGGTCCCGTGACAATTACCGTCACATGGCCTGACGCCAAAATTTAACCCGGTCGTGGCGACCGTGTGCCTACAGCACGCGAGATTGTCTGGCCCTTACTCTCCGGACATCTCGCCCCCACTCCTACACCCCTTGTACACACACGTACAAGCTTCCCGATGCAAACTGAATGAGAACGCGGGCGCAGATGGCGCCGTGTTAAATAGTTGAGGCTGACACCCCCACCACTGTTCCATAGATAGACTCGCAGGCCAGCCTTGGTTTACGCCCCCACACAGAATTCTCAGGTTGGCTGCCTGCTTCCGTAAACGAGGCTCGCCGGCAGCATCCTGGGAGTTTACAGCCTCCGGTATTTTTGGCTCTGCGGCACTACCTGAGTCAACCGCCCGAGCGCAAACCCCCGGATGTTCAGGCTCAATCCCTTCCTCCCCCGCAGCGTACTTTCACCAACCTAACGGATCTGGCCCTCGTGTTAACGACGCCACAATATGTTTTTTACAGTGCCAACGTTTCGGCCATTTATTTGGCCTTCTTATGGACAATAAATATGAAAAATAATAAGTGAAACTAGTTTACACCATTTACATTTACATAAGAAGAAAATACCCGATTTTCAAACACAGTTGGGCAGTAATAAAGATTGACTCTAGCTATTTGTATATTAATTGGCATATTTATTCTACATTATTGTATAAAATTATAGAAAATTGTTGCTTCCAAAAACAGGATAGAAAGTGTCTTACATCTTGTTTGCCCGCTGCATTGTTATGAATATCCATTTTACCAATTTAACTATAATAGGAATTTTTATTCCAAAACATCATATTTTCAAAAAATTGTTAATAAATTGACTGCTGTGTTTTTATAATTTTATTGTTCTTGCCAATCTCGGAAACACGACTCTCCACATTTATTTACAATACGAGATTAAGATAAACAGAATAATATTTAACATGTATGTATTAATTTGATAAGAAGTAAAAAATCTTATTTTGAGCCTCTACAGTCACCTTTATTCTGTAAGAAAACCGGTAGCAGTGTATCGCGTCCATTCGTGTTTCCAGAGAACCACTCCCCACAACACTTTTTACGTGGTTGACAACGCGCAAATAATTCATCACTTTTTGGTACTTACTATTAAGGTTACTGGTGCGCCATTTCCGATCGTTAAGATCGTGAAGCGGTAAAAGTAAATCGATCTTCCAGGCAAAAAATCAAAGACGTTGCCCCTTCCATTATGTATTTTACTTTGAACAACCATGAAATCAGTATTTTTTTCGCATTGTGGGAACAATACATTTACATCAGTTTTACAATTTCAATTACGAATCAAAAATATCGATTATTTTAAAATGTAAATTTATTGGTACGCCGAATTTTGAATAGCTCTGGCGTGAAGTTGCTTTAGCGTCAATTAGCACCTTTAGAAGAAATTCATCAATGCGTCAACTGTTTAAATCTTTTCAATAACAAAGTCTTTCAACCAATTAGCTTTATTGCTACATTGAAAAATTTACTCAATGTAAGGCAATTCTAAACAACGAAATTGATGTCTTAGGAGTGTATTTGTAATGGTTTCAATGATATTATATGATATAGGTAATTGTGTGCTAGATAAGATTATTTCAATATTTGTTTCATTGCAATTGGTTCAGGAATTATTAAGATAAAAGGAAACAAACAAACATGAAATCTAAACACACTACATCATTTACATCAATTTTACAATTTCAGTTACGAATCAAAAATATCGATTATTTTAAAATATATTTTTAATGGTATGCCGAAGTTTGAATAACTGTGTCGTGAACAACCAAAATTTCTCAATCTGCAAAAACAAAATTAAATACAATTTTTTTATTTCGTTTCAAAATGCAATTTACTTTAAAATATTCAAGTAGTATGTATAATTTAACAATATTTTTCTCACTTTTTACAGTTCCTATTATTTCAAGTAAGAAACACTGCGTGAAATTGTAAGTACAAAGCGTTTCTCTACTTCTCTCATTACTTCTTTAAGACTTATTACGGAGTCAGAGCAGCAGAGTGTTGAATGATTGTCACAAACAAACACTTTTTGATTTGACTTTCTTGAGCCAACGTAATAGAAAAGTTGTCAACGGAATGACTTTTTCAATTCGTAAGGCTGTTTTGAAAGGAATTCTTCAAAAATTACAAAAACAAATTTTTATATGACCATTTTTAAGAAAACAGTATCAACATTTAGTGTTGCTCTGAAGATGTCGTTTCATTGGGATATTTAAACTCGTATTAATAAGCGTTTTGTGCGTTTTGTAATATTATGTGAAGTAATTTCTACGGGGGCAAATAAGAATACATTGAGTGATCGTGAATTTTAGGAATTTTTTTCTTAATTTTCTGAGAATAAGAGTTGAGCAAATATTTATCATCAAATTGTTCTTTAATTTAGTCAAAATTTTTTATCTTGAGTAAAATGATAGAAAGAATTTAAATGTTTTTTTCATATCTACGCGCAATTTTAGACAGAGAAAATATTGGGCTAGGTTCAAATTTCAATTGTGACAATTTTTTGGTACCACATACGTTGCTGTGTCGAGGTCTGCCTCTGTCAGGACAAGAACAGGCGCAAGGAGGACTGATTCCCTATTCCCACAAGGCTCAGCCTTCGTGACCTGAGACTCCTAGTAGGAAGAAAGGATTACCTTTTTAATCTGGTCGCATTCGCACTCTCTCATTAGTTCAGCCGGGCGATATGTCTTCAGCCAATCTTAATAATACCCATCCTTCCTGATCTTAAAACGCCCCGTGCTAATGGATCAGTAGTTTACATGGCGACTCAATGAGTTTGAATGACAAGTTCAAATCCAGATCAGCGTGGGGATCAAATAAGGGTCGTGTGAGAGCGTAGGCTTCCGCGGCCGGAGTCAGTATTTACTAGGCTGTCCGGGTGACGCCGCGTCCATGGCGAAGGTGCCGACGTGTCGGTCGCCATTCTACGACCTTCCTCAGGGCGTAATGAGGAAGGTCGCAGAATGGCGACCGAAACGTCGGCACCTTCGCCATGGACGCGGCGTCACCCGGACAGCGTAGTAAAAAAATAAATAGGGGTCGACGAATTTTGTAGTGCGAAAATACACGGCATGCAGTATCACTTTTACGGCACATTAAAGAGCCCTTGGATATCACTCAGATATTTTCGGTTGTTTGGTTGGTGTTGCTACATGATGCTGCTACAGAGATGGTGCGAGGTCACTCCTCGCCCAAAAATGTCAAAAGCTACTGTCATGAAATGACTCGTCTTGATTGGTGCCCCTCATGCAACGAAGGTGGGAAATGATTTCAGTTCTGGATGATGAGTACGGATAGGTAGTATACATTTAATAAATATATCACTGTGAAAACACGAATGCCTGTCCAAAAAAACATGGAAAATTTGGGGTCAGAGCAAAAAGATGATCGAAGACCATTACTTTCGTGCCTACGGCTATTCATACGGCTATTCAACGTACAATCGAATGAACTTTCGTTTCTTGCCCACTGTATCTTCTAGTGGCATCAGGACATCCAGTCAATTTTCCCACCAATGCTCTTAGTTGCCTTTTTAGGATATCATGCAATAAAGCAAAATGAAGCCATGGGATCCTTTGAAACACTAACTAAAATCGAATTTTTTCGCGTAACATTTAGGTTACTCATTTATGAAATGAAAGACCACTTGTGGGAGGAAATTGGAACGACCAGTTCATTAAGCGTCGGTAATTCATGATCAGCGGATGCGTTAGAATCAAACGCTTCTGGTGATTAACTGCGCTTGCTGACTCATTTCGCTGCAAGTGGTTGCTTATTTCGCAAGTAATCCTTCTGTTACGTCTCTGCAATAAACATTCGAAGAGACCTTTCTTATTATTTGATACTGAAATTATTTCTTTAGAATTGCTTCGGAATGCAGTTTTGTGAACAAAATGTTTGCTTTCTTTGCCTGTTGGAGAAAAACGATAAATTTGAATGTACGCCGAAATAAAATGAAGATATTACCTTTCTTTTCTATTTAGTCTTCCTCATCTTCTTCTGGTTATAGTCGTACGAATTTCAAATGAATGTAATTATTTGTATATGTCCTAGAGCAAATTTGTCATTGTATTTGTTTCTTCATTTATGACAATACCTAGTATTGCTGTTGCACTCATGTGCAATGCCATAACTTGATTCTTTAAAAGAACGCTTTCTAAAATAACAAAATTAAACTTTTATATTTTGAATATCATTTTATACTTTTCAATTTCAATCTATTCTGTGTCAATCTCCTTTATTGTTTTCAAGCTTTGTGGTTCTCTACTTACCATATTCCTGCAGTCCTCTTCATTAGTTGTAACTTATGTCTATGGTATTTATTCATTAGATGGAAGTTATGTATAACATTAGTCATCTCAATGACTATTTTACAACCCTCAGTCGTAGGACATATTTTCATTATTAAAAGTTAAACGACTTTTGATAGTGTGTGATTTGTAGTTATGCTTTTCTAGGCACTTTGGAAAACTGACGTTGATTTCAGTTAGATTTTTGTGCAATAATGTTACATTTCTTGGCAATGAGCTTCAAAGACCAAATAGAAGAACGTAAATTCAAGAAGTTTTAGTTTAGACTAATTAGTTGTAATATGTTGGTTATAAGATCATTGAGACAATTAGAAATTTTTTAACAGCATATGAAACACTTTTATCAGAATATTTACAAAACGTTTAATAATTACAGATTTTCATAATTACAATTACATAATACACAACAGTTTCATATGTTTTGATGAATTAATAGTAGTTGTAAAATATGAACGATTGTACACTTAATAATAGAAGAGGAAAATATAAATACTATTGAGAACATGTTTTTTTTGTTTCTGACAAAATAATTTTAAATATCATATGAGAAGAAACTTCTATTGACCACTGCAAAGTTGTTATCCAAACATTTTTTTGCAAAAATGCAACCGCGTTAAATATACGTAGTTTGCATGCACCATCTTTATTTTCGTACTGATCACGTTAAGCACACAGTTGAAAGATATGAATGCCATTACGATCTACTCTATTGTTAATAAAAAAGTAAATTATAATATTAATAGGCTGCAACGATAGAGCGTGTGTTTTTTCAGAAGTTACTCGTAACTCTCATTAGCCATGGCTGGAGGCGTCTTCCGACCCAAAATTCCCTTTAATTTTCACATTTACGGTACATCCTACCGTTGATGGAAATGCCACAGGTGTGCAGCAAACCCTGCACACTGCTATGCAGGTGTGCATCAAGTACTTAACCAGAAGCATTCAACGCCCTATAATTTCACGAGGGAAGAAGACGCATCCAGGTTGCCGTCTTTCTGCGGGATGGAAGGACATGTGAACATATGCGAACTGTGCGAATATGAAGAGTATTATGGAGAACACCGTAATGACATTTTTGCGTGTCCTGCGTTGCTAGATGGTACACCATATGTTGAACGAGCTCCAATCTCCTTTTTACGTTTCAGAATCGCCAACAAAGAATTGCTTGGCTGAAGAGCGCTTTGGTCCCTCGCGTATCCTCATGTCATCGCCGGTAATAGTAACCAGTAATCTAAAAATATTCGAAACCATATATTAGGTTTCTAATTGTAGTTTTGAAATGCCACACACGACGCACATTAGAAAGTTCATGGGAGTTAGTGTTTGTATGTAGACTGACTTCTTCGGATCAATAAAAGAAAAAGATTCCAAGTACACACAGGATACGCTCGTTTTTCTAAAATATTTGATTGGGTCGATGGTCTAATAACTTCTAGAGTGAAAAACACAGCAAAACCGTTTTCCGAGGCTACATTCTGAATGAGGCTAGTAATTCATTCAAATACATTCACTAAAAAATGTTTGAACTTGTAAGTGTTCTTAAAACTTCCGCTGTTGCTACTGTGATCAGAATTTATGGAATAATTTACAATGCATGCTTTTACCGTTCAACAATCAGAAATTATTGCTCATAAGGAAAAAAATGTTTAGACATTCGCATATATACTTCGGCGAAATACGGAAACTAAATACTTCAGCAAGGCCAGGTCACTAGCGCCTACAACCGTTCAGTTCGTATGGTTCCTTGCCTCTTCCGCGGTCACAAATATACGGTCCTGCAAAACGGGTACTGATATTTTAACACCTGGTTTTGATAAACGTTCCACGATTTACTGCCTCCGAAGTCAAATGTCACGTAAGTATCGGTAGCTGGGTCACGGGAAATAGGTTGTATTTTTGGGACACTCGCCAGAATTTACGCGTCATTGTTCGGCAAAATTGAAATATTTGTGTCCCTGCCGCGGTCCACGGGTTTTTATCCGCCTCCGAATAAAAGGAGAGGTTGGCTTGACGCTCTTCAGTGTAGCCGCGTTGACACTTCGCGCCGCGCGTGGCGTCCATTACTCATAGGACCCAACAGTTACAGCGGCGTAAATTTCGAGGCGCTGGGTGTCACTTGTGCCGAGTCAGCGCGACCTGGCGGAAGGTGGCGCTGTCAAACAGTGGCTGTAAACTCAAAAACTGGGGGCAAAAGACGTGTTAACTGGACACTGAATTTGAGAACCTAATGATCTCCAAAAAGATGTGTGATGACCATGATTAGTTACTGAAATTACCAAACATATTTAGATGATAATATTCTCATTCTGAACTTTGCAATTAATCGTTGTCATAAACCTGTCCAAAACTTCGGCACTTTGTACCGGGCGCCCGCGAGTCTCCAAGCCCACAGGGAACACAATAATTGATTAACTAGCGATGGTGGGCGCGTCATTGTCCCGTACGTGTAGTGCATGTTTTATTGCGGGAGCTGATGGTCATCTGCTCTTGCTGGAAGGAAGGCGAGGATCCAGCGACGATATACACGAGGGGGGGGTTCCCAACCAAGTATTTCCCTCCCATAAGGCATCGCTTCAGATGGGACAAGCTCTGA